AAAAAGATGACCTCAGCAATAGACGTCAATTAAGTTGTGCGCGGTGAGAAAATAATGACGCTTGTCTTTTTTTTCTTTTTTGCATAAAATGTCAAATAACCAACAAACTTTAGAAGATCGTCTTCTTCGCATGGCAGCTACTAATGTCAGTGATCTACCTGCCTTTCCTGACAATAAGAGTGACCTCCCTTCTGACTTTGAATATGACCCCAATAGCTATGAACAAGAAGAAGAAGTAGTTGAGGAGATAACAGAAGCTGAGTTGTTAAAGTATCTGGATGAACAAGAAGACGCTCTCTCGATAGCACAAAGGTTATTTTATCATGAACTAAACACTACAGAGTATCAACATCAATGCTCATCATGGGATCTACAGTGCTTGACTCCCAATGACGTAGAAGAGCTGTATGGCAAAGGATGGACCGAGATTGAAGGGTTGATTGATTTGAATATATTGAGAGGTAAGCCTGTTTTGGTTGAATTACATGATCCTAAATGTTTTCCAAAAAAAAAAAAAAAAAGGAGCGTTTGAGGAATCAAAAAACTTACAAGAGCGTAACTTGTTTGTTCCTCCAAGCCAATTAAAAGAAACTTTGGATGATCCATATAGAGATGTTACTGCCCGTGGTGATTCGATTATTTGGTAATTCTAGAATCATTGCTGAAAACGAAAACTAATATCTTGACCAGGTTAGACCCCCAAGGTAACGTTGACAACCAAGCATCGATGGAGCCTCCACCCTATCTTGAAAAGGTCTTGGCCTTCTTACAAGGGCCACTCTTTCATGATATATCAAGAATGATCCGACTGATAGGGCAGAGACTGGAATGTCAATTGTCATTTTATCATTCGAATGGTGCACGATATGAAAGACATAGAGATGCATTCCCAACAGATGATCCAAATGATCTATACCAAAGACGTGTAACAGTGGTAGTGTTCTTAAATCCTGGTTGGATGTCAGAAGATGGCGGAGAATTGAAAATATACGGCCGAAAGGACAAAAAGGGAATGCCTGAAGGAGCAGAAAGAGTGATTAGACCGCAGCTAGGACGTATGGTGATTATGATGAGTGGTGCGATAGATTATGAAATGATGCCCTCCTATAAAGACCACTTTATGTTGACGACATGGCTGAGGTAAATGTTCTACTTTCTTTCTTCTGCAGCATCAGTATGACAATGTGATACGTTCGATTTAAATAAAAGGAAAAGCTTATTTTACCAGTTAAAGGTCAGTAAAAACCAAAGCGTTGGCATTTCAGGCACCGTTTATTTTTAGTGAGCATAGGCCCCTCACAAAAAGATCAGCTTTGTCGGAACAAAGGTCAATTGGGGTAAGCTAAGCCAGATCTTTAACAGAAGACGATAAAGTTATTTTGAATTTAGAAGCACTCGTTCCCTTTAAGCTTTGATGTCTGTGCAGTCTATTAGATGTGTCATTTAGAGTTTTTCTATAGTATTTTTTTGAAGCTTCTTTTGACTTGATTTGTTAGTCCTTTCATTGCTTTCTATTGACACGATTTACTTTGTAAAACAAGATAATAACCCATGATGGTCGTATTTGACCTGGGTGATCGTGGCATTTGATGTGATTTGTGATGCGTAAGAAAGCGCTTCAGGGCAATTATGGTGCCTAAAGCCTTTTGGTAGGAGTGATCTGATACAGCATCGGTAGTCAACAGCACATATTGCTTTGTCACTAGTGGTAGATTCTCTCTGAAGAAGTGAGTCATAATTACCAGAACAACAGGCAATGCTTTGTAGCGCTTATAAGCATGAAGTGAATATTGTGTAGTGTTGTATTTACCTTTATTATAAAAACCAGCAAGTTGATAACTTACCAAGTAGACTATTTGTTGAATCTCTATTAAAGATTATACTCGATTCTTATCAAACACGTCCTATTGTATAAGCCTGAGCATAAAATCTTGATTAACTTGATACCACATCACTGATTAAAGAGCGAATAATCGGCATTAAGAGATTACGATGCGAGCTCGGTTAGCGTAAGATCTAGAAATTTTTCATTCGTGCAATATTTATTCTTTATGTGTTCAAAGAAATTTTGTAGCATTTAATTTAAGCTTCCAAAAGCTGTACCACGTATTCCTATAAAAAATGCTCACACACATGTGCTGTCTGTCTCACAAATCTTTACTTTCTAAATGCGGATCACGATATCCAATCAAGCCCCTTTTCCCACACAGCTCACAAGTGACAATAGTATCAAAGTTTAACACTCAGTCTATTTCAGTGAACAATAGTCGTACTCTGTACAACAAATTTCATCTTTTCTTTCTTATCTCTTTTATATTTAACATGAAGGAAGGATTTCAGTCTATAAAGATTGGACCATTTACAGACCATTTAGAGTTTATTGGTCTTATCAAGAGTTCAAACCCTGCTGCAGGATCCAGTCTGAGGGGAACTCTTGAACTATCCGTTCAAAAGACAATCAAGATCAAGTCAATGTCATTAAAGTTTAAGGGCAAGTCTCAAGCTACTTATACACGACCAAACGATTTGCAAAAATTTACAATTACTGCAAAAATACTGCCTAAATTAAAGACAAAAATAGTCGAAAAATCACTTACGCTTCACCATGGACACCACACGTTTCCTTGGGAACTAGACATTCCAAATGTATACCCACAGACATATAGTTCAGACCGATGTGATATTAGTTATTATTTGGAATTGAAGATATATCTTGGCGTAGGCCGCTCAGTCACCGTAGAACACCCAATCACTATCTACAGGCACTTGGTTGCTTCACCTCAGTCAGCTGCACTGATGAATACAAAATTGTATCAATATACATCACCAGATAAATTCCATTACCAGATTGAAGCACCCAAGGTTATTTGCCTTGACCAGGAGTATTTCCCGCTATCTATCAAATATACTTGCTTCAGTGGTTCTTTGCTGAGCCACATTCGTACCTTTATCGTTCAAACAGAGGTTCACAGGTAATTTCAGAAAAGAAAAAAAATAGCTGCGCAGAGTAAATTGATATCCTTCCTAGAATGAGAAACTTGACAAAAATTGAAATTGAAAGAAAATCAACAGCTGATCAGCCTAGTTTGTCAAAGACAATAACGCATCTCGATCCTGCCATGATCAATTACATAAGCACTCAGTCAGACAACATCAACGATCATTCTTTACTTTTAAAGCAAAAGGTGCCTAAAATCGGAATCATCTGTGGAACAGAATCACCGCTGGTCGCCATTTATCACCAACTAGACATTACCTTTGATTTAGGCAATGACAAGGTACAGACAAGGATTCCCATCTATGTGAGCTCTCTCCCTACAACCTATACCAAACCCGTTCTGGACGAGAGCTTTGCTTCAGTAAAGTACGAAATGGAATCACAACCTCATCAAAAGCCGATGTCTACGGACATACTAAACTCACCCATTCCCGAAGACAGACCACAAAAACGTGGCACTAGGTTCAGTATAAGGAGGTCTCTGTCCGATCAAATGTTGGGTGGTAAAATGGCCTCAGACAAGCAAAAGCCCAACTTTTTGGATCCCAGTCAATCGTCCTCATCAACTACAACATCATCTTCTCTTTCTCCTCCTCCTCTTCCTCCTCCAAAGACTGCTGGCAGCACAAAAATCCCAACCCCCATCGATACAGGCCTTGCGAATCAATTAGAATCCATTCGTTTAGCTGGATCAGACGATGTGAATTCAAATGCGCAAGCGTACTACATGGGCTCACCCCTTTTGTCACAAGGTGCCATGTCGCCCTCGATGGAACCCAATTCTGGGCTTTTCCCACCACCTAGACGTCCTCGTAAGAAGACAGTGACTACAGATGACTCAAGCCGCTCTTTAACCAGCCGTATGCCAGGCACAAACCATTCATTTACAGTAGACGTCATGAAAAGAATACCTGAAGACATGCCAAGCATACCACTGCCCACGCCACCTACTTCCGGCCGACTATCCGATCTATCTCAACCACACCTGACTGCACCCACTCATTATAACGTATCGTCCCCTACTTCACCCCGCGCACCATTGCCAAAACCACACCAGACTCACTTTGATCCAACTGCCGATCGAATCATTCGCAGCTCCGCTCTGAGTCGAAGCAGCAGTGATAACAGTAGCCTCAGTCGTCGAAGCAGTACCAGTAGTTGCAGCAGTTGCAGCAGCTCTGGTCTTCGCCTTGGACATTTGAAGCCCATACCTTATAGACAATCTGACGCGGTGTCAGGTAGCAGTAATAGTAGGAAATACTCTGAATCCGTAAATCACTATGTCTCTGCTGAGCTACCCCCTCTTCCTTCCTTTTCATTACCCAACTCTACTGATCTTCTTCGACAAAATATGACATCCATTCCTTCAGACTATATAGACCTAAGCGACGATGAAGAAGAATTTGACATTCTTGTCTATCGTGACTTAGTTGATGACGATGGGTTATCTTTAGCAATGTAATATGTATCACTTTTTATGTATGAGCTCTTGCAATAAACAATAAACCATTCCTTATGATTTACTGACATGATTTTTTTTAAAAAAAAAACTTTTTCTTTATATAAAAACAATTATTGTGATAGAAAAAATGGGATGAAGAAGAAGAAGGAGGAAATATAAAGAATACTATTTAAATGATTTTGGTATACATCAAACAATAAAGGTACAAGGAATAAAGTATTAGTAAAGAATAAGATAAAATAGAGGGATGTTAAACTAATGCAAGTTCTAATGTCCAAGTTCTTCTTGCCCATAGTCGAATGGGTTCTCCTTTTAATTCGATTGAAATACCATCCCACCAGCACTTTCTCTATAAAAGGATAAGGTCAGTCTATTAAAACGACATGTACAACTAAAACTATTACCGCAGGCTTCCTCCAAAACAAAAAGAGTTTTTGAGCAGTAGCCATATGATTATCTGGACCAATTGTCTTCAATAAGACCAGTGCCATACTAACAATGATTGTTCGCATTGGCTCGATTTCACGGTACCCCCATCGGTCGTCTCTTTGGAAACCAGCATCACACAACATGTCGATCAAATGTTGCTCTGCGATATTATTTTCTCTCGAAATATTCTTCTGCAAAGCGTCAAAGATGTGGTCATGCTTTTTCAAGTATTGACCTGCTTCCAACTTGAGATGTTTGATATCTTGCTTCTTTTGGGTTGGAAGACAAAAGTACTCGAGTTCTTCACGTAATACAATGATAGGCTGCTTCGTCAAGAGTGTGTAATAAACTGGTGAAGTGGCTGCAGAGGTCGTCAACAAACGTTGAAGATCAGCGTCCTGTTGATTCTCGTCTCGGACTTTGGCTGCATAGGAATAAAACTTTAAGACGAAATTCAAACTAGCTGGATCAAAGTCGACGACATGAACCTGCTCATCTACACCTAATGAGTGATTAGAGAGACCATCATAATCTTCGTCTTCATCGTTATATTCCTCAGGTGGTCGTGCTAATACAAGGCCATTTGGAAACATGGCAATCAAGAGGCTCTCTGGTAAATTGATCAATATTTCTCGGTCTAGTTCCATACGAGTTCCTCTCAAGTCGAGTTTTAACTTTTGCGGAATGGCGTCGTGATTGTCAAAGTCATCAAAGTCATCTTGGGATAATTGTGGTTGGGCTTGATAAATGACTTCTTCGTTGTTTAAAGTACTACCATCTTCTGGTTCAGGCACCTGAGCAATAGGTGACTCTGAAGCCATAATTAATCACACACGCACAAAAAAAAAAAAAAAAAAAAAAAAAAGAGGGAAGGAAAGAAAGTGTTAATTTGGTAAAACAGACCATCAATTTGTTCAACTCGTTTTTAAAATATAAAAAAGTTATTTGTACTACCCAAAGGCTATACTTTGCCCATTCAACATGTTTTGATCTGTCCGTTTTGGTTTCTTTATCAATTGAATTTCTACACTCAGTAATAATGGCCCAATGTATCACTCTGGGTTCGATCCTCGACCCTCTTTCCTCACTTTCTTTTTATTTTGTTGTTGTAAGATCAATATTACTATGAATATCATCTATGCGAAATATACAATTAGATGCTGTGTGACATTGAAATGCAATGTACGGTGTGTTCCTGCTGGAGAAATGCATCTCGCGTACTTTATAAGCAGCAATTGGCGTTTAAGGTCGATCCTGTTGCGCCTTTTCTTGTTTATTAATAAAATAATTATTTCATTGGATTGAGTTAATTATATAGCCTTAAAGAAAGAAGAGGTGAGTCTCTTTCAATGGTTAATTAGCATTATATTAGTAACCAATACATTATTTTAAAAGGAAGAATCAGTATACCAACAGAATATGAATAGTATAGCCATTGACACTCTTATGTTATTCTTGCTGCTTAAACATTTATATCGTACGAAATGAGGAAAAATATTTGATTCGTCCATTTGTACACAACTGTTATTAAGCGTTCTTTCAGTAACAGCCTGCATCCCTCTTTAACAATCGATCTTGAACTCAAAATACTTGGCTCTATTGGAATGCTTGTGAATCTATGATGACAATGACAAGATAAATTGCTAGTAATATCCTTTTATGCAACTTTGTACCACTTTTGTATTACATGCAGAAGGATACTTGGACTTTTCTTTTACAAAGAACGCATAAACGGGTATATGCAGCATTGCGTCTTTCCTTCCTTTAACAAAATCATGCGTTAATGCTTTAAAATATTTGCTGTTGACTTTAAAAGAAGAAAAGTGTACGACTGCATTAGGTAGCTTGTTATTAGCCAGTTGAGCCTAAAGATAAAAACTCGATTAATATAATGACGATGTATCCCACGCCCTTTTATTAACTAGGGTGAGGAAGGTTAGACTACGAGTAATTTTTGGTCCAAGCCATTTAAAAATGTCTGGACCTTAGATATCAATAAGCAAAATGGCAAAAATTGATGAAATGAAACTCTTACGCATAAATAGCAAAGCCCTCCATACGTTTAATTAATAACGCTTGAAAGATATCTATGGCTTTGGAAGTAAAGAACTATTGGTTAATATAAATGGAATAACGTTTACTGATCTGCGCAGTGCTTTGAAGCAATCACTCGCAAGCGAATGAAAACATAAAATAAGCACTGCCTTTGCTTTCTTCTTCTGCAAATAATTAACTATGGAAGCGTTGCCCCATAACTTCAAAGTAATATTCGAAAGTGTGGTTCCTTTATTCTTTAGCACAAATAAGAAGCCATGTATCGGTGTTGCTGTTCTTCTGGTCTGTGCTCAATAGGTGTACTCCTTCTTTAGAGTCCCCAAGAAGCTTCGACATATCCCTGCTGTTTCTGCCTATGCTATGATTAAGTCTGCACTCAGAGGTCAATCCCGTGTTGACTGTGAAATGGAACTGCTTCTACCTGTTTCTCACAAGGGAAATGGAATCTATCTTGTACGCGTATATAATCAGCGATGAAAACAGCTGATACTGACTGTTTTTTACTGTGCAGAGAAAAGCTACAGTTTGGACTGCTCACATTACCGACCCAGCTGCTGCCAAACAATTCTTAAAGAGGACAGGTTTACATTTACAAAATATAAAAGTCATAATTGTATTAACATTCCATTTTTGAAAAAGATGTTTTTCCAAAAGCAGGGCAATTAACCAACGCGCTCGGAAAAAGGGCACTTGTGACGAAATTTTTGGGTCAAGACAATATCTTCTTGACTAGCGGTCATCAATGGAAAAAGCAGCGAGCAGTAAGTATTTCCAGCTGTTAAGAATATTTCAATAACTTCGTCTTTGTTAGTTGATGAATCCAGTTTTTCATCGATCAATGCCTATCAAAGCAATTGATGAAGGTGTAAAGGCGCTTTTTTCTGTCATTGATAAAAATAATACCAATATCAACGTTACCACAATGATGCAGCATTTCACACTCGATGTTCTTGGAATTACAGCGTTTGGTACGTCCTACAAAAGTAAAAAAAGATGTTGCCCTCATATCATTGTATCTTAGGCTTCGATTTCAAGTCTTTGTAAGGAGATCCTGAAGGGTGGTCCAAAACCTATCGCCTTGTGAATAAGCACATGCTTGATCCTTTCGAATTTATGCTTACCAAATGGTCTTTTCTTCTTTGCCTTGTTATTCCTGGAAAGAGAGAGTCCCATGCTGCACTTGTCAGGTTGAACGCTAAATTTGACAAGCTTGCCAAACAAAGATGCGCAGAACTGGAGCATGGATCCCTTGACAATGTTCCTGAAAACGAAAAAGGACCTACTTACGCTGATGCCCGAAGCTAAGAAACGAGGATAAGCCATTACAACTTAAGAGCAACTGAGAGTAAGTTGATTTTCTGTAGTTATACAGTTATATTAATACAAAATAGCACAACATCGCTGCTATTTTCTTGGCTGGACATGAAACGATTTCTAGTACCTTGTCACTCTGTTTGTATAATCTCGCTAAACACAAAGTAAACTGCATAAATAATAACATAGCTGCATATCTAATCACTTGAGCCATTAGCATGTGCAAGACAAGCTCAGAAAAGAAGTTATTGAGGTCTTGGGCGATGAACCAGTAGATGTTACACCTACATTGGAAGAGTTAAAGAGAATGGAATACTTGAACATGGTCATTAAGGAGGTAAACAATGAATCCGGGGATTGAGTTTATTTTAATAGTTTTCGCAGAATTTTCGCTTATATGGGCCTTCTGATACAATCATTCCTAGAGAAGCAGCCAAAGATTTCAATCTGGTAGGAACTTTTATACCCAAGGGAACATTACCCAACCTTGACATTGGCATTATGCATCGCGATCGTCATATCTGGAAAGGCCCAGAAGCTTTTATCCCTGAACGTTTTGGGCCTAATGGAATACAAGCAGACTATAATATTTTCACCTATTTACCCTTCAGCAATGGTTCGCGCCAATGCATTGGCATGAGTTTTAGTTTGGCTGAGCAACGAATTTTCTTGGCTGTGGCAGGTAAGTTTAGTAGATGTTGCTTGAAAAAAAAGACGCTCATCTATCTTGTAGTGAAAAAATATGAAATTGAGATTGCAAAAGACTCTATTCATTATGATCATCTTGTGTTTGATCGCGTTCGAACAAAATCCCCTGAATCCCTTCAGCTTACATTTAAACGACGCTATTAAGTTCTTTAAATAAAGCGATGCCAGTCTAACCTTTATAGCTTAAATGAAACGTCTCATATCAAGTACATTGTTTTTATAGTTATGCATTACCAGCCACACTATCCTGCTTTTCCCCCTTTTTAGCAGCGCTCATGCGTAGTTATGACCCTCTGACGGACCAACTTTTGTCCGGTGTTTATTTTTCCAATAAAAGATAATGAAGGTCGATTGGCTGATATTAATGGAGTAATCTTTAAACGAATTGTTCTATTTGGGGAAAACTTGGCACCTGAAAAATATATTACCGAACATTATATCCAATCAAAGCTGCTACTCTTTAATGCATAAATAAACCGAGAGAATAAAGAGAGGAGCACTGCTTTTTTCCCTATATTTATCTATGGACATCATAAATCACAACTACAACATATTCCTTGAAAGAATTGCTCCTTTCCTTCAAAAGAGGGTCAAGAAGTCATATATCGGTGTTGCTGTTCTTCTGATCTGTGCTCAACAGGTGTACTCCTTCTTTAGAGTCCCCAAGAAGCTTCGACATATCCCTGCTGTTTCTGCCTATGCTATGATTAAGTCTGCACTCAGAGGTCAATCCCGTGTTGACTGTGAAATGGAACTGCTTCTACCTGTTTCTCACAAAGGCAACGGAATCTATCTCGTATGTTCATATACCCAGTGATCATTAATAGCTAACACAGACAATTTTTTTTTTTCCTAACCTTATAGAATAAAGTTCCTGTTACTTGGACAGTCTACGTTGCTGATCCAGTTGCTGCCAAGCAGCTGCTGATGAAAACAGGTTTGTCGCTACAATCCCATAAGGTGTATTATCCTATTAATCTTTTTCAATTTAGATATCTTTCCTAAATCCCATCAAACGCTCAAAATGATTGGAAAAACAGGATTTGTTGTTAATTTTCTAGGTTGCGACAATATCGTAATGTCAAACGGACATGTGTGGAAAAAGCAGCGATCAGTAAGCTGACATTTGTTTTGATAAAGAACCCATTAAAATAACATAATCATTGATAGTTAATGAACCCAGTCTTTCATCGGTCAATGCCAATCAGAACAATGGGTGAAGGAGTCAAGGCACTCTTTTCCATTATTGATAGGGAGAACGGTACTATTAACGTCTCTAATAAAATGCAAGAATTCACACTTGATGTTCTTGGTATTACAACATTCGGTATGCTCTACAACAAAAAATAAGCATCAGTTTGGTTCATATTTATATAGGCTTTGATTTCAAATCTATGGAAGGTGATCCCGAGAAGTGGGGTGAAATGTATCATCTTGTGAATAAGCAGCTGATTGATCCCATTGAGTTTATATTTTTCAAATGTGCTCCTCTTTTACATCGCATTCTTCCCGAGAAAAGAAGGGCCCATGCTGCACTTGCCAGGTTGAACGCTAAATTTGACGAGCTTGCCAAACAAAGACGCACAGAACTGGAGCATGGATCTCTTGACAATGTTCCTGAAAACGAAAAGGACCTTCTTACTCTGATGCTCGAAGCCGAAAGGAGAGGAGAAGCTATTGTGACTGAAGAGCAACTGAGAGTAAGTTGTTTTTCTTTAATTATGCGAAATTACTAATACAAAGTAGCACAACATTGCCGTTATCTTCTTGGCTGGTAATTAATATATCTTTACTAAGAAAATCAAAGAAAAAGAACTGATGTTGTTGACATTAGGTCATGAGACTACTGCAAACACTCTGTCACTCTGTTTGTATAATCTCGCTAAACACAAAGTAAACTGCATAAATAATAACATAGCTGCATATCTAATCACTTGAGCCATTAGCATGTGCAAGACAAGCTCAGAAAAGAAGTTATTGAGGTCTTGGGCGATGAACCAGTAGATGTTACACCTACATTGGAAGAGTTAAAGAGAATGGAATACTTGAACATGGTCATTAAGGAGGTAAACAATGAATCCGGGGATTGAGCTCATGGTGTGTAACAATTTCTGCAGAATCTTCGACTGAATGGACCTGCTGATACAGTCCTTCCGAGAGAAGCGGCTGAAGATGTCACCCTTGCAGGAACTTTCATACCCAAAGGAACATTACTTAACCTTGACATCGGTAGTATTCATCGTAGCCCTCGTGTCTGGAAAAACCCCGAAGAGTTTATTCCCGAGCGCTTTGGACCTAATGGGGAGCAAGAGGATCATACAGGCTTCACATGGATACCCTTCAGTAGCGGTTCTCGTCAATGTATTGGCATGAACTTTAGTTTAGCAGAGCAACGAATTTTCTTGGCTATGACACGTAAGTTTCGAACAGATAGTGCATAGCATGTCCTTTTAACATTGGTTCTTGTAGTGAAGAAGTACGAAGTTGAAATTCCAAAGGATTCGATTCATTATGATCATCTTGTGTTTGATCAAGTTCGTACCAAATCTCCCGCAAACCTTGAGCTTATATTTAAACGACGCTATTAAGCTTTATAAATAAAGAAATGACATTTCTATTATAATAATATATATTCATCAAATGCCATATTCTTGGTAATACAGAATATGAGCCTCATGGATTTACGCACATGTGTGAGCGCCTAACCAGGATACGCTCTTTACTACAAACAGACTTATTGTTAAAATGTTATTTTGTCTGATGATACACTATTACCAGAAAAAGATGTCGCGCTAACTTGTCACTTTTTCGTATAAATTGTATTATAAAAATTGCGAAAATGCGCCTTTACTTTCTGAAAAGACTGTAAAGCTGAAACTCCAAGTTATGCCGGCTATTTTTTGTCTGCTACTGATTTAAGCTCAGACAATGAGCTTCTCTCTGTCTTGTGCTCATTCAAGCTCTGTGTTTTCTTTAGAATCATGTCTGCGGATTTTCAACCTTATCGTCTTGACACTGAATATCCAGAAGAAATAGAGCAGCTTGTCGAACTACAAAGACGTCATACAGAAACACGCAAAGCTCATATTGAAAATATTATAGTCGATGAGGATGACGACAGCTTTTCAGTTCATGAGAAACACCCTCGATTGAATGCACCACCAGTGCCTGATTTCCGTTATGAGCAACAGGTAGAAAAGACAATCAAGAATCTAAGGGACAAGGGTACTTCTCCAATTGGCATATTTTGGACTATTGTAATTCAAGATCAGATCATTCTTCCGTTTGTCAGTGGATTCGCTTGGTGTATCTGTTCTAATGCCTGGAAATGGTATCGAACAAGAGGCGTCGTCAATAAACAAACTCCTAAAAGAACCATGGGATTCTTCCGTGGCCTTCAGCACGGTATTACAGAATGGACAAAGTAAGGAGAGAAGGGGAAAAAAGAGGGGGCAAATACAGGTTTATTAATGATTTTATGCTTAGGTCAGTCTATAATGTGATTATCAGCAGCACTACTTCCACTATCCAATAAATGAATGCTGAATTTTCAAAATGTATTGTTTTTCTCGACCAGCACGACGTTGTAATATGATATCTGCATTCATCTTGTATGTATTTCTCATGATCTCTACTACGTCATTAGGCTTATTTTCGTTGATTAGCAGTAAATAAAATACGCCTTGAGGCGACAATAAGTCCTTTTTAAGAGTTAATAAAGAGCTCTTCTCAAAAGCGTCATTCTTACTTTAACCAAGGGCAGTAATTCATCAATGACTTCTCGCCCATCAATTCCTCCGGCCCAAGCAGCTTCAATGCCTATACTCCCCACCTCTTCATGCGTCGTCACGACATAAGGAGGGTTGAAGCAGAGAATGTCTATACTATTCTTGAATCGTGGTAACAGTCCTTGAACAAGCGAGGTATTAATAGGTTCAACTGATTTAACCTTGTTGCATACTGCTGTTTCTCGTGTTATTTTGCATGCATATGAATTGATATCCGTTGTGAAAAAGACTAGGAAAAGTGTTACTGCTGCTCCCATAGTTGATAACTCTCTTTATTACCTGCATTCGTATCGCCTACTATTTTAGCAAGTAGAGTAGTAACACAACCAGAACCTGATCTTTTTAATGAAAAGAGTATTAACATTTCAACCAAGTTTGTATTAATGTGAATTATACCCAATCTCTAAACAGAATCTAGGTTTCATTTGCAAGATCAGCTTCTCGTCCTGTTCAAGAGCGTCTAATAATAAAAATGTATCTTCTATAAATAGTTTGCTGTTTAGTCTAAGAACAAATATGTGCATATGCTAAAGACCTGCAGGTTCATACACTCTTTCATAGTCTTGCTTTTTCAAGTGAGATAAATCGGGAGTTGGTATCATTATTTTTTTTATAAAAATTAAAAAAATGCCTGAAAATGTTGTCAGTTTCGGTATCACGATTTTATACTGCTTCCTCGCTTAATTCGGGAAATCTCTCTCTAAATATAAAAAACAGGCAGCACATGAAATTCATTGCTTATTCTCTCCCTCTCTCTTTCTGTTTTATTATCAAAAAGACAATATGACCAAGTCAGTAACCGAAGATTTAAGAATTCAAGGCTATAATGCCTTACTCACACCTGTGTATGTCAAAGAAGAGTTTCCTATGGTAAGTATATACATATATATAAATAGTGTCGATCAAGGCTGACGATTCATCTATTGGCTTAGACTCAGCGATCTATGGAAACAGTGACGAAGGCTAGAAAAGAGATACAGAATATCATTGCTAAAAAGGACGACAGAGTATTTGTGATTGTTGGTCCTTGCTCAATTCATGATACAGAAGCAGCAAAGGAATATGGTACTTTTGCTTTTTTCCTTTTTTTTTGACTTCTTTATTGTGACACTTTATATATATATATAGCCGAGTTATTATTAGATGCAAAGAAAAAGTATGAAAATGAACTCGTTATCATCATGCGCGCCTATTTCGAAAAGCCTAGAACAACAGTGGGTTGGAAAGGATTGATCAATGACCCTGATATCGACGGAAGGTAATTGATAATTTCCTATCTTGTTTTTACACCACAATAATAACCCTTTTACTAGTTTTAATATCAACAAGGGCTTGAGAATCGGTCGTGGCTTACTTACCAAGCTTACTGATATGGGAATGCCAGTCTCAGTCGAACTGCTTGACACAATCTCTCCTCAATACATGGCTGATCTTATCTCTTGGGGTGCCATTGGTGCCCGTACAACTGAATCTCAACTCCACAGAGAGTTAGCCAGCGGTGTCTCTTTTCCTGTCGGTTTCAAGAACGGCACGGACGGAAACCTCCGAATTGCCATTGACGGTATTGGTGCTGCTGCAGCACCACATCATTTCCTGGGAATCAACAACTTGGGTACGATCTGCATCACACATACCGCTGGAAACCCAGACTGTCATGTTATTCTACGTGGCGGTAACAAGGGGCCTAATTATGAACCTGTTTATGTGGAAGAAGCTAAAGAGATGCTCCAAAAGGCTGGTTTGCCTGCTGCCGTTATGATCGATTGTTCTCACGGAAACTCAAACAAGGATCATAGAAACCAGCCAAAGGTTGCTCAGGTTATTGCTGATCAGATAGCTCAAGGCGAGGATGCACTCGTAGGTGTCATGATCGAATCTCATCTTAGAGAAGGTAGACAGAATGTACCTGAAGAAGGTCCTTGTGCCCTCGAATATGGTGTGTCCATCACAGATGGCTGTATCAACTGGCAAGATACAGAAGCAGTCTTACATAATCTGGCACAAGCTGTTCAGGCAAGAAGACATGGTAGAAAAAAAGAACAATGAATGAAATAAATGTGTGTGTGTTAAATAAAAAAAAAAGAACCTGGCGCGCTATAAAATGAAATGCATATCTTTATTATTATAAATGGGTTCTAAGCACCGTCATTTGAAACAACTCGGTCTACAAGAGGTTGAATGTCTTTAATCTTTTCCATAAACACATCGAGTGCAGATAGGAAAATTTGCTCGGCTGGAATAACGCCTGATGTTTCGACTTTGACTATTATAATGGTTATATACAAAGTTTATCTTTGGGGTATACACTTACATATAAAATGATCACGAACACGAGTCAATCGAACCTTATTTGCAAATTTATCATGTCTTAATACTTCTCTGCTCACTGTGTCTTTACGAGCATTGACCACTTTGGCTGTCTTTACACCATTTACTTTCACAACTTCTACAACACCATCAACAAAGCAGTTTTTGAATTCTTCAGCATCTTCGCCTGTGATGGGCTCCAAAATGGTAATTTCTGGGAGTAATCGATAGGATGCTGTAGCCACAGGTGACCATTTGGCATGTTCCTTTCCAATACCCTTTTGACAATGTAATTCCATATCTATTTCTTGGCCAGGTCTAAGTTTAGCAATCACAATATCGTCATGAACAGGCCTGGGTGGGTTATTGGCAAATCGTTCTTCTTGGTTACCCTTGGGTTCCCAAACCAAGTCTCTAGAGTAAACTGATCAATAGATTATGAATCATGCTCCATGGCTGTATATTCTCTTTAATTTACCATAACCATTGATATATTTCTTATGAGGATCAGTTTCATCAGCTGAGGCTTCAGGGTTATTTTCACATTTCTTCTTGAGCTTGAAGACAAGTGTATTAAGATCAGTAGGTCCTCCTTCTTCAGTCATGTAATCAAATTCATTAGGGTCTGCTAAAATAGGAATCAAACCTAGACGGTGGGCGAGTACTTCATCGTGAATAATAGAGGTGTTGTTCATCACATATACTTTTTCAATAGCCATTGTAGGAACCTATTGCATGTATATATATATATATCAATAAGTATATTCATATTTTATTTCTTTTTTTTTTTTTTACTTCTGCAATCATTATTCTACGGAAAGCATTGGCAATGCTAGCATCAATACCAATCAGGTCAAATTCGACGCTGTGTTTCGATAAGCGTTGAATCTTGACTTTAAAGTTCTATTGAAGCTCAAATTAAATAACAGGACACATAAAGCAATGTCTTCTTTTTTACCTGCTTGAATTTTTCAAGGTCGAAACTATTGTCAATACCTGGGTATTGATGAGGATAATCGCTTCCACTTGCCTATTAGATTGGGTCAGAATACAGCCAACAGAATAAAAATGTATGAACTTACACTATACACTCTATCTTTTTCAATTATAACACGAGTACGTAAGAGTTCGACATTCTCTGGAAGGCTGGAATCTGTCATTTTATTATATACAAGCTCAATAGACAAACAATTGTCTTTTTTGAACTTAAAAAAAGAAAAAATCAAGACTGTTTATTTCAATGGTCACAGCAGGAAATAATAAGCTTCATTTTAATTTTCTGTGGAAGCTGTCTTTTCAAAGTGAAAGAAATGCTTCTGTGAAAAACGATTCATAATTTCGGTGTGCTATACAGTATTTCCAAAAATTATTGACACTGATGCCAAGAGTAAAATTCGCGTTCGTTAAATTCTATTGTCACGTAAACCATTGGCCGATTTCGCTTGCTGACAAATTGAATGTCGTATATGTAGGAGCCCTGTCATACAAAATATGAGTATATTAAGCACGAAAGCATCGTTTACTCTTTTTTTTTTTCTTTTTTCTTTTTTTTTTACTTCCTTTCTCATTAAAAACCGAGTATTACAATATGAGCTTTCAAATTTTCTACGAAGACGGGCACGGTAATGCAGTCGATGAATACGGTAGACCTGAGCCTATGGACTATATCACTGACGAAGAGCGATATGCTTTAGAAACAGTTAGTTCACACACTCAGTATTTGTATAATCAGCCTCAGGAGAATTGTTTCGATGTAGGCTCTGGCAGATGAAGATGCAAAAGATGACCCAAATGTTTGCATGAAGGAGGCGTCGAGTAAGCGAGCGTACATACTCTATACGGATCAAGACAAAGTTAGATTCTTTAAATTGATGTTTGAGAAAGTTATGAGTGCTTCAGCTGCTGCAAAACAATTAGGTATTCATGTTCGCACAGCTCAAA